TAAATACAGTCAAGATAACAATACTATCCTACTGTAAATACAGTTAAGATAACAATACTATCCTACTGTAAGTACAGTCAAAGTAATAACTCTTCTATATCTTATCCAGAAGGTTATTATCTCCACATTTCGTCTTGTGGCTTCTTCAGAAACTTTTTACATCGGTGTATCGCTTTACCACTTCTTCAGAATATTATTAGCTCGTCGTTTGGTTTGTTGAAAATGTTATGATCTCAAGGTTTCATCTTGCGGCCTCTTTAGGTAATTCTTACTTAGACGTTTCACCTTGCGGCTTCTTTAGGTAATTCTTACTTAGACGTTTCACCTTGCGGCTTCTTTAGGTAATTCTTACCAAGACGTTTTACCTTTAGGTAAGTCTTACCTAGACGTTTCACGTTTAGCAATTTTTACCTAGACGTTTCACCTTGCGGCTTCTTTAGATAATTCTTACCAAGACGTTTTACCTTTAGGTAATTCTTACTTAGACGTTTCACCTTGCGGCCTCTTTAGGTAATTCTTACTTAGACGTTTCACCTTGCGGCTTCTTTAGGTAATTCTTACCAAGACGTTTTACCTTTAGGTAATTCTTACCTAGACGTTTCACCTTTAGCAATTCTTACCTAGACGTTTCACCTTGCGGCTTCTTCAGAAGATTATTATCTAAACGGATTTTATGTTTAAAAAGTCACAAAATCTCGGTTCCGGTAGCTTTTGTCCCTCGTTGGAACAGCGGTAAGTTTATAGATTTGCAACGCTAAAATTCGGAGTTCGATTCTCCGCAGTGGACACAGTACATATTCCAATGATGCTTCGCTCTAAATAAACCAGTAGCTTTTTTTAAAAAAAAACAATGTAAGTGAGATTTTTTATCTTTTTGTAGCGCCCCCTAGCGGCTCATCAGTAAGTATGAAGGCTTATAACGTTAAAAACCGGGCTTTCGATACCCATAGTGGGCACAGCACAGATAGCCCATTGTATAGTTTTGTGCTTAACAAACAAATAAACAAACTTTTATAGATATGAATGAAAAACTAAATCACGTTGAACTAAAAACTAACTTTACTAGAAACTTCTAGACGAGTTAATATAAATATTATACCATTTTTAACACATTTTTAATGTATTGTAATCAAATTCCTTACTATTACCGCGCTTATGTCTAACAGGTTGACCCCCTCAGAGATAATCAGCGGGTTTCCATCGCTAAAAATCAGGTTTCGATACCCGCAGTGAGCAGAACACAGATAGCCCGTTGTGTAGCTTTGTGATTAGCAAACCAAACAAACAAAGTACTTTTTAAACGAAAATTGCATACTTTAAGGAACAATCTATAATATTTCCTAACATCGAATGACTTGATGAAAGAATGAAGAAGTTCTACTCACTCGTTTATGACGTGAAGGTGGTTTTAATAGGAATACTTTCTTCTGGCTTGAGGTGTTCGGTCTTTGGACTGTGTCTCGTTACGCCGGTGTGTAGAGCAGTTAAGTGTTAGCGCTGGTCTATGAAAAGCGGAGAGTTCCTCTGCTATATACTGTCGTCGCCAGGATATCATTGCTTGTGCGCATGGGTGTGATAGCCAATCGATAGAACTTCCAATGTTGCCCTTATCGAAAAGTGTATTGTCTCATTTCATCCTGTCTTGTTGTTAAATGATAATATAATAACATGTAGGCAAAGTTAAAATACTAACGTGTAGACAAAGTTAAATACTAACATGTAGACAGAGTTAAATACTAACATGTAGGCAAAGTTAAATACTAACATGTAGACAAAGTTAAAATACTAACATGTAGACAAAGTTAAAATACTAACATATAGACAAAGTTAAAATACTAACGTATAGACAAAGTTAAAATACTAACGTGTAGACAAAGTTAAAATACTAACGTATAGACAAAGTTAAAATACTAACGTATAGACAAAGTTAAAATACTAACATGTAGACAAAGTTAAAATACTAACATGTAGGCAAAGTTAAAATACTAACATGTAAGCAAAGTTAAAATACTAACGTGTAGACAAAGTTAAATAGTTCTTACCCTCTCATCACTTACCCTGTAATAACTTAATAAAAATATTTTATTCTTTGAATAAAGTATTAATAATTCAAGAGCAATTAATTCACTGAAGCTACGAAACCGGTTATAGTGAAGATAAACTTACTGAAAAGTAATCATTGAAGCTAAGAAACCGGTTATGATGAAGAGCAACTTACTGAATAGTAGCCACTGCAGTTAAGAAACCGGTTGTAACGAAAAGGAAAAAAACTTACTGAAGCTTAGCCACTAAAGCTACGAAACCGGTTACAATGAAGAGAAACTTAATGAAGCGTAACAATTGAAGCTAAGAAATCGGTTACAGTAAATAGCAACTTACTGTAGCGTAGACACTGAAACTACGAAACCAGTTACGATTAAGATAAACTTACTGAAGAGTAGCCACTGAAGCTACGAAACCAGTTACAATCAAGATAAGCTTACAGAAGCGTAGCCAATAAAGCTACGAAACCGGTTAGAGTGAAAAGAAATATTATAGTTTCAAATCCTATCGTACAGTGATATGTATCTATATATATAATTAAGTTCAGTAACCCAAATTAAATCGTGAAACTGATACATCAATACGAATATCAGGAAAGCCTTATTGTTATTTATATTGAAAGCTAACCCTATAATAATTTACGTTGTGTACTTGTTTGACCATGAACTACTCCCACCTAGCATGACCAATCTTTGCATGCAGGCTCGGGATATTATTATCTATATAACATAGCCCCTTAACAAAAGGGAATAAAACGCACTTAGAATGTCACCCAGGCTTGCTGAGGGTCTAAAAACAAAGTTTAGAACGGGATTCCTACCCCCACAAAAGCTAACGGGACCAAACACACATACTGTGTGTTATAGAGGGTTTTTTTTTCGGATAAGGACCCTCCATTTCTTCCTTCCCCTTGTGATAGCTATAAATAGTTGTGGATAACGGAGGAACGTGATCGTTAATGACATCTGTGAATCATGAAGTGGCCTCGCAGTGGAGTGTATCTTCTTCAAGCTGCGAGTCACGAGATCGAATCCCTTCACCGAACATGCTCATTCCTTCAGCCGTGTGTAAATCCCAGTATTTGTTGGTAAAAGAGTAGCCAAAGAGTTGGCAGAGGGTGGGGTTGACTAGATGCTTTTCCTCTGGTCTATCAGTTCTAAATTAGGGACGACTAGCGAAGATAACCCTCGAGTAGCCTTTCCCTAAATTCCAAAAACAAACAAACCGTCTTATGGATAATGGGGAAGCTTGGCCATTATTAACCACTGTTAATCACGAGGGGGGAGGCGTATTCAAGTACAAGTGTTTTATGCTGGTGCTTCTGATAGTCGGCACAACCATTTTATTTACTGATAAATAAATGTTAAAAATACTAACTTGGAAGCCCGACCATGGCCTGGTGGTTAGGGGGCGCTCGACTCGCAATCTGAGGATCGTGGGTTCGAATCCCCATCGCACCAAACATGCTCGCCCTTTCAGCCGTGGGGGCGTTATAATGTGACGGTCAATCCCACTATTCGTTAGTAAAAGAGTGACCCAAGAGTTGGCGGTGGGTGGTGATGACTAGCTGCCTCCCCTATATTCTTACTCTGATAAATTAGGGACGGCTAGCACAGATAGCCCTCGTGTAGCTTTGCACGAAATCCATAACAAACAAACAAACTAACTAATTTGGAAAACGAAACGGACATTTGGAAGCAGGCTTGAAGCACACCGTTACAGAAAAACTCGAATTTCAAACAAAAACTTTGCTGTAAAAATGGTTCAAGTAACGACGTAGCAGCCATCAAGAACCAAACAAAGATGGTTCCAGTAACGACGTAGCAGCCATCAAGAACCAAACAAAGATGGTTCCAGTAACGACGTAGCAGCCATCAGGAACCAAACAAAGATAGTTTCTGTTCCAGTAACGACGTAGCAGCCATCAAGAACCAAACAAAGACGGTTTCTGTTCAAGTAACGACGTAGCAGCCATCAAGAACCAAACAAAGATGGTTTCTGTTCCAGTAACGACGTAGCAGCCATCAAGAACCAAACAAAGATGGTTCCAGTAACGACGTAGCAGCCATCAAGAACCAAACAAAGATGGTTTCTGTTCAAGTAACGACGTAGCAGCCATCAAGAACCAAACAAAGATGGTTTCTGTTCAAGTATTCCTTTCTTTAAATTATTCACGATTTTCTAGAGGGTATTAAACGAAGAGATAAGGATTTATGTACCATCATGAAGAAATAATTTATACACGAAACACTTGAATATTAAATATTTTAGATAATAATAACAAAATATTTCTTGGCCTATAATATAAGTTACGGTGCCTATATTGAACATTATTTTTCTTCACAGAGTATTTTCTGTTTGTGAAAAATGTAATATTAAGAATATTAGTTTAAAAGTTTAGTAGGGAAAATAACCTACTGCAAAACTAACTTCACTGACAATGTATTATTTTCAACACTATTTGAACTTTACAAGTCTGTTTTTATTCATTCATAAGAGCATATATTGAAATAAATATAAGTTTTTGAAAGGCTTAGCAGAAATTGTCTCAGCTGCACAACATAAATCCTACCAGTTATAGCAAGCAAAAACGTGTTTTGTTAAACATGTATAAATATTCACAGAACTATAAATATAGCCATCAGTGGGGCTTATTTATTTCTCAAGCGAGAAAAAGTAAGGTAATTTATACCCTGTAGGAGAAAATAAAGTAAAATCGAGCATTTGGTAAAACGTGAAAGTGGTTGGACTGTGTGTGTGTGTGTAGGAAAGCCGAAAAACCAACACTGGATTTGATTTATCGAAAAAATCTTGAAGACATTTCTCAGAGGCCTCAAACGTTGTCTGTTTACACAGAGAATAGAAGAAAAATAACAAAAAAATTATGAAAATCCAATTCCCACTAGACTCAGTAATCACAATATGGTTGTATAAGTAACCTTTCAAGCTGAGTAGACTCAATGATTATAATACTGTTGTGTTATGTTCCCCTATTCCATAACACAACAATATTATAATCATTGAGTCTACTCAGCTAGCCCTACTAGCTGAGTAGACTCAATGATTATAATATTGTTGTGTTATGGAACCCTACTAGTTGAGTAGACTCAATTATTATAATATTGTTGTGTTATGGAACCCTACTAGCTGAGTAGACTCAATGATTATAATATTGTTGTGTTATGGAACCCTTCTAGCTGAGTAGACTCAATGATTATAATATTGTTGTGTTATGGAGCCCTACTAGCTGAGTAGACTCAATGATTATAATAATGTTGTGTTATGAAACCCTACTAGCTGAGTAGACTCAATTATTATAATATTGTTGTGTTAATGAACCCTACTAGCTGAGTAGACTCAATGATTATAATATTGTTGTGTTATGGAACCCTACTAGCTGAGTAGACTCAATGATTATAATAATGTTGTGTTAATGAACCCTACTAGTTGAGTAGACTCAATTATTATAATATTGTTGTGTTATAATACAGAAAACACAACAATGTGAAATAACGGTTTGTTGGACTTTCTCTTTCATAGAAACATTCTTCAAATACAGAATAAACAACAATGTGAAATAACGGTTTGTTGGACTTTCTCTTTCATAGAAACATTCTTCAAATACAGAAAAAAACAACAATGTGAAATAGCGGACTCTCACCGTGTTTAATGTATTTCTCTAAATTTGAGCAAACCTCGATAATGTTAGTACTTCACGTCGTCAAATCTCGATAATGTTAGTACTTCACGTCGTCAAAGCCGACACTTGTTAATTCAAGACAGTTTGAAGTACGAATCTTGAAGAAAGATTGTAACTCATATCTGATTTCCTTGTTCTTGGTGACGTAAAGTTGGTGTTTTTCATGTTTGTCTTTGTGTTCAGCCTTAACTTCGTATTCGTATTGATATTTAAATTTCGCTGTTTTATTACACAGCAACGTGCTTAGAGCAGGGTTAGTATGAGTGGTGGGGTGGAAGGCGTGTGTGAAATAAAATGCGGGAAACTTTAATTTTAGGCTTAACTTTAAGCCTAACAATAAGAAATGTGCCATCTAAGACCCTTGTTAATATATTCTAAAATAATATAACCATATTTTACCGATTTGTATCCCCCTGGTGGCTTAACGGTAAGGCAATAGGTTAACGCCAAAAACAAGACTTCGATCTCCCATTTTGTAGCTTTGTGTTTAAAAAGAAACAAAGTTAATATTTTTTTTATTCTGCCGAAAACGTGAAATCGTTGTCCAAACTCTCAGTTTATGGCCACAGAAGGAATAGAAGACTTCCGGTTAAATATTGATTTGAATAGAAGACTTCCAGTTAAATATTGAGTTGAATAGAAGACTTCCAGTTCAATATTGAGTTGAATAGAAGACTTCCAGTTAAATATTGAGTTGAATAGAAGACTTCCGGTTAAATATTGAGTTGAAGACTTCCAGTTAAATATTGAGTTATTTCATGCACAAAATGTAGAGAACATTTTGTTTCGTTCTTGTTGTTGTTGTATGACGTACAGTTCGGAACGAACGATTCCAAATTAATGTTTTAAGAAGTTTTTGCCCCAGTTAAAATTGTTTTATCATTGAACATGACGTCAT